CCTAAGGGTTTCTATTACCATCTTACTTAAATCTGAGTTTTAAGAAATTAGATCTAATTTTAAAAGGTCATTGTGTAGTAGATTTATGGACTTTATATTAGGAAATCTACATAATTTCAAATAAACGGTTGGCTATATTATTCCTGGGACTTGATGGATCAGTGGTGCTGACACTAAAAGGGAAGAGGCTGCTCAGTGGACCATGAACTACAAAAATAAGCACATAGCATTAATCTCTTCAGGATCCAAAACACATATTGATACAGCTGGATAGCATTAAAGTTTTCAAGAAAACAATAGATTGGTTTTGATTTCCAAAGGGATAGAAACACACTGAATTTTTACTAAAGACTGATCTTTGGCTGAGTAATCATAAAATGATCCTTTTCCAGACTTAACAACCCAGCTATCATATTTGTGATAATAATCTAAAGTAGAGGGAAAACACAGTCAAAAAACAAGTTAGGGGACAGATGTGTGAAAGAACAGAAAAAGCAGGAGAACAGGGTTACAAAGCGAAAGTCCCAGCTCCCTCAACTTTCTGCCAAAAGACGGGGGAGTATTTCTGGTTGGCAGATAAATATCTTACACAAAGCACATTTGAATTTCATGAGGCAAACATGGACTAGGAATGTGGAAATTCCACCTTCTCAAAGTCATGCAGCCAAGGCTACGTACAAAGCCTGAGTTCCTGACAACAGTTTCCATGGCTGAGTATCACTAAATCAAATGAGTTAATCACAGGAAAATGCCTGAGAGCAAGTGGTCTTCCTTTGAGCCACTACTACGTCATAGGTGGAAGAAAGTATCGAGATAATTCAAGTAATAGCTTCTAAATATTTAAAAGAAGGAACCACCAGATATAACCTCTTAATCTGAGGTCACACTAAAGGCTCCTATAGATTATGCCTCCCTAGGTATGCTTTGATTGGTCTGTATCTTTATAGATTTGGAAATATTTATAAAATCTGCATTTTAATCATTATAAATGAACTGATGTGTCTATAATTTATATCAAAATAATCCAGTGGTGAATAAATAAAAATGAAGAGAACCTGCTTACACAAACAATGGTGAGGTGCAATGTACACACCAATAATTCCAGTAACTCAAGAGACTGAGGCAGGAGGATTGTAAATTTGATACCAGCCTCAAAAACTTAGTGAGACCCTTGGCAACTTAATGGGACTGTCTCAAAAAAGACTGGGTATGTAGCTCAGTAATAAATAGCCCCTGGGTTCAACCTCTAATGCCAAAAAGAAAAAAAAGTAATAGCCAAAAAACTTTACCATAATTGAGGAAGACAATGGACATACAAACTGAAGAATCTTAATAAAGCTAGGCATGGTGGTAACACACCTGTAATCTTAGCGGCTCTAGAGGCTAAGGCAAGAAGATAACAAGTTCAAAGCCAACCTCAGCAACTTAGCAAGGCCCTGAACAATTTAGTGAGACCCTGTTTCTAAATAAAAAAA